ACACAACGACTTCCGTGTAACCAATCTCTTCCTAGTAGCACATTGTAACTAGTAGGACCATCTATTACAAAGAAGACAGTGGTCCTAGTAGTCGTCCCTATAGTTATGTTTAATGGCATAACTCCCTTAGCTGAAATTGCTCCTCCATTGAAGCTCGTGAGGATGACTTCTGTAGAAATCATGTCACCCTCTATCTTTGCGAACTTCCTCATCATCCTAGATGGAATGGTGTTTATAGCTGCTCCATTGTCGACAAGCACTTTTGCCACTGGGATGCCGTTAACTAGAGCTTTAACGTACAACGGCCTCAAGTGTTTAGTCAATTTCATAGCTGGCCGTTTAAAAATAACCTTTTCGACAGCCTCTATTTCTACTTCCTGCTTGTTTTCTGTCGAATTATCCCCCCATGATAAGTCGACGTGCAGTATATCACGCTGATCCTCTGTCTCTTGAACTTCCTTCCTACTTTTTTCTAATGCTTCCTCATCAGTTACCCAACCTGTGGGAGGGGACATTATTCTTGGAGGTGACCCATACTTTTCAGAGCGAGGCACTCTCTTCTTCCTTTTGGGTGTCCCGTACAGTAGGTAGAAATCGAAAGGACGCCCAGATGGTTCCCCCAACAAGTCTACTTCGCGAACCCCCTCTCGATGTAGTTGCTTCAACAGAGTATTGCGCGATACTCCTCTCTTTCTTCCTTCTGCTTCTAGGTCGATTTCTTCTTCAATGTCTGTCATCCCGTCATCCTCTTCATTGTTGTAGGCCTCTCTAGAAGTCTGGCCTTTTTCACATACCAACACGCAAGCTTCTCCTTCATTGTCCTCCCTCTCTTCTTCTTTTTCTTTATTCTTGAATTCATTGGCTAGTAAGTAATTATTGGCCACGACAGGAGGCAACGTACCGAATTGAATAGTAAGGGGCTGATCTGGATCTTCTCCATCCCTTCTGTCTCGCTCGAACTTTGATCTCCTAGAAGAAGTTTCTGGAAATTCCTTCATTGATTCATCTGTACCGGTCTCTTCACTATTTTTGAGGACATTTTGATTGGCTACCTTGAGTAGTTTAGACGCTTTAGGATGTGGCACTCCCTGTTACTGCCTCATCATCCGTCCATAGTTTCGTTGGGAACGCCTTTGTTGGGTTCTAGTCATCTCATCGAAGGGTATTGCCCTTCCTGCATTGTACTGGAATGAATGCCATACATTTGGCCGGCGAGGTTGCAGCCTGAATGTTCTTCCATTATCTGCTGGCCTGAATTGCCTCTCAAAAGGCGGTCCTCTATAGAATGATGTACCTCGCCCTCTACCAGGCTGAGTGTTTGGAAAGAAGGTAGGGCGATGAGAATGCTGTCATATCCCTGGTTTCTCCGTATTGCTATTCATTTCTGTTTTACATCTTGCGCACAGGACGTCTTCGTCCTTTTTTGGTTATTTTCCCTTGATTCGTTCAAAGACGCTGGGATGTGCTTTAGGATCCTCTTCTCCATCATCTACGACCAACTTGAATTTTGGCAACTTGTTTTTGAATCCAGATGTCACCATGTTCACTCCAAGTGGCTGTGGAAAAGGATTTTCGTCCACTGCCATCTTCTTCTTATCATCGAACGTAATTCGTCCTGATTTAATGGCATCCTGCAATACATGGCGAAAAACCAAGCAATTGTTAGTCAAATGTGACCATGCATTATGCCACTTACAATATTTTTTACCCTTAATTTGTTCAGGGTTTGGCAATTTGTGCTTATCGTTCAACTTTATCTGCTTATCCCTATATAATTTATCAAATATAAGGTCAGCTTTAGTTACATCGAACGAGAACGTTCTAGCCTTTATGTTTCCTTCTTTTATGGGCTCATCTTTGTCCGATGGTCTAGGCTTAGTCATTATGAGACAAGTATACGTATCTCCTTTGACCAATTCGACCAAACACATTTTGGCCTGGTCGTATGACTCGTCACCGATGGTATGAACATCAAAATTTGGGTCTTTGTAACAAGTCCCTTTACTAGAATTTTTCATTTGTTCTTCCTCTCTTATCAGTCGTTCATACCTAATCACATTCGCATTCAACTGGAAAATGTCAGAAAATTTCTTCTCCTGGAATTTCTTTTTTAAATCAAAACTTAAACAGCCCTGAGCGATTTTGACAAATTCTTTTTCGGGCAAAGGTACAAAACACTTGCTTCTCGCTGTCTTGAACCTTTAGAGAAAACTTTCTGCCCATTCGTTTGGCATTTGAAGTAGATTCGCCAAATCAGCCAAAGTGACTTCAGACTCAGTTTTATAAAACTGAGCGTGAAATAACTGTTCCAATTGTTGCCATGTTTGAACAGAGTTCTCTGGCAAGTTGATGAACCAGGAGAAAGCTACTCCTGTTAATGAACTAGGGAAAAGCCTCATTTTATGGTAATCGGTTACATCACCACTTTGCAATGTGAATCGCCCTATGTGTTCTAGAGTAGAAACCTCTCCTAAATCGGTAAACAGTGAGAATTCTGGCACCTTATACCCTCTAGGCCATGCGTATGCTTGGTCTACCCAATCAGGGTATGACTTTGTGTAAGTCGGCCTAATGACGGGAAGCACCCCAAAAGCCATCTGATCCTGTACGATTTCCATAATCTGATTCCTCAACATGACGTTGGGGTCATATGGAATTCCTACAGGTTGGTTAACCGGTTGATTTGCATGAGGCCTGATGTTTGGTCCTTGATTGGCAACAAAATTACCATGATTAGGACCATTACCATTAGCCTGAACATCTATTCTCTCATTAACACGTGAAATATTCTGTCCATTGTTTAGGACATTATCTCTTATGTTTGGATTACCCCCCAAGTTAGGCATACCACTACCATTGTTCTGGTTTGGCACTGCAGTACCCCCTTGGTTTGAAGTGGAGGGACCAGAAAGTGGTTTTATCCCTTGGTTCGGGCTTAGGACTGAGGGATTATGTCCCACAATTGTCCTAGTTTGAAAGTGAGTTGCAAGAGGTATAATCGGTTGACATATTTGGCCTACTAACTTATTCATTGTTTCGTTCAAAGTGTTTAGTTGTTTGGCCATGTTGTCATAGTGTGTTTGGGTAAATCTTTCCATATTATGAATATTTCGAAGATTTACCTGTTCAACAACGTCTTGTGTGAGTTCTCCAAGTAATGCACGCATGGTTCGAGGACTCAACTCCGTCATTGGTTCGTAACGACTGTTACTGCTCTGATTCTGTCCATTTGTTCGTGGAGAGGCATGTTGCTCCTCATATCGCTCAATCACAGACTGGATTCCTCCTTGACTTGCTGCTTCCTTATCGGATCTCTGAGGCATATTGTTTCACCTTTTGTACTTTCAACACTAAACACCACTGTCCCACCGGGCGTGCCAAATTGTTTCGCGCGAGTTAGTCGCTAACAATTAAAAGAGATCAGACGATTGTGTAAGGGACAAACCTCTTGAGACAAAGTCCCAAAAAGGGGTGCTCTTTTATTGGCGATGACTTTACAATTGGAAATTAAAAACAAAGTGCCTCCAAAGGGCGCAAGCACACGAGTTACTGAAAAAAAGTGTTTAAATCTAAGTTAAGGAAATTAAAATTACATGTTCTCTGTTCGAGAGTTTTTTATTCGTTCCTTTGCTCTATATTTTTTTTCTCCCTTTTATACTTCATGGACGATCTCTTTGTGATCAACTGCCTAAAAACTGCTTGATCGTCCTATAACTGCCCACTTTCCTCGTAATGGCCAACTTGTCATGAAAACTGCCTTTTTTAACTGCTGCCATTACTCTTCGTCGTTCAACCGCTTTCAATTGAATTCCTTGAATCGTGGAACGTGATAGGGTTGCTCTAATAACTGCTTTGATAACTGCACTTCTTGATAACCACAACGCTTTATGTTTGTTAAGACCTTGAGCGACTTGAAGGTTTGGGCGAGAATAGAGTAACAGCTCTAGGCGACTGTATGGCACTCCATTCGCTCAGATTCTGGGCGACTTGCAAACTTGGGCGATGGCGTTACCGCGTTCTTGGGCCTCCCTATTTGGGCTTTCATCTTGATTTGTTTGATTGTGCTTCGTTTTTTGGGCTATTTGATTTGGGGATCCTCCAATTGGGCTTCACTCTTTGGGCCGTTCGATTTGGGCTGAATTTTTATGTGTCAACAAGCATGCTTGTAATGCCCATATTTAAAATTGATTTTTATGTATTTAATAAATTTAATTTATTAAAATATTTGAAATAATAAAGTATTGTTATATCAAACCACTCTGATTCATGAGCCAATGTCTCATATTGCGACTTCAACAACGTTTAAACTCTTGTTTGATACCTTTTTTTTTTATTTTAATGTTTGGAATACTTTTTTTTTTGAAAAATGTGTGGTTAAAAAAGAATGAAAAGTTTTTAATTTACGTGTAATATTATTTTATGAGAAATTGTGTAGTTAAAAATAAGAAAGAAAAAAATGAGGGCCAAATGGAGGCTAATCTTGAAATTGATTTAACTTCGACAGTGCTCAAGTCTTCAATTTTCTACAAGAAAAGCTTGTTAGAAATGTCACTATTTAAATAGTAAAACCAGGAAGAAATGCACTAAATTTCCAATTAAAAAGAAAGTTTAAAAAGGCAAAAGAAAATTAAAAATTAAAAATGTATACATACGGCATATGAAACCGTGAATCAAATTAGCAATTTCTAGACTCAAAGAAACAGTCCAAATTGGCATATTTGACTCGGCTTAAAGTCTTCTTTCACAACGCGGTTCTCTTTGATTCTTTCAAAATTCAAATTCTTTCTTTTTCATCCCTTGTCTTCTCTTCAAGGTTAGTTTGTTCTCTCTTCTTCTCAAATTTTTTTTTTTTTTTTTTTGTGAAAGTGAATTAATAAATACAAATGTTAAAGGTCAAAAAAAAAAAAAATTATAAAAATAAGGATGCAAGCAAGATAGAATTTCAAGTCTGTAAGAGTGAATTTTCACGTTATTAAAATACGAACATAATGAATAGAATAATATCTGCTGTGCATAAATGTGGAGGGAAAGGCGGAGACCATTCTTCGCAAGTTGCAATTACTAACCAGTTTCTTGACAAGGATTTCATATTTATATATTCGTTCTTGTTTCCCCACTTTGAACTAATCCCATCTCTAAAGTTTCTCTCCTTTCTTTGTCTAGATTTTCTCGCTCTAGATTCTTGGCATTTTTTTAAAATTCCTTTTCAGAAAGGGCGTTATTCTCGGTGCTCTTCCCAATCCAAGATAATCCTTTATCTTCATCCTCTTTTGAAATTTCAGGTATTTCTTACCAAGATTTCTTTCTTGATGGTTAAGAATATTCGAAATGAATTTGTATTCGTGTGCATTTATGCTAAATAATTTGTTTTCTTGTTGATTCTAAGCTTGTGTGCCAGTTTAAAGTCTTCATTTTTAGTCATCTTGTAAAAAACACATTCGTTGGATTTATATTTAGATTTGTTTTATGAAGATCCATATGAATGATCAATCCGAAGTCTTCATCTTTTAGTCTTCTGTAAACATAGATTACGGGTTTTCCAGTTTTTTCTGGTCAAAATTGATAGTTTTGCTACCACGTTCAATGTCTTAGGCACCCTTTTTTCCCATTTCTTGATTATTTTTTGGGTTTGTGACTGATTTGATATTTGAATATATGTCTGGCTGATCAAATGGAATTGGATGAACTGAGGGTCTCCTTTTTAATCGAGTTAATGCAGAAATTATATAAAGGAAAAGAAAAAAGAAGTCTTTGGGTTATGAAATACGTAAAATATAGAGTCAATGTTTGCTATTCTTCTGATTTACTAGCAAGAAATATAATATATAAAATATAAATGGTGAATTCGTTCATTAGGTCGTGCGATCCTTTGTGCAGCCTTCTGATTAGTTTTTCTTTTTCCCATTTGAATTTTTTCTGTATCTTCTTTTGATTGATTCCTTAAATCCTGTTCTTTTCAAAATCAAAAAAGCAAAGGGACCTAGAACTTTTTTGATTTCTCTTTTTTTTGTTTTTGCATAGGATTTCATAGTTCATCAGTGTGGTACCATATACATGTGATTTCGATTCTCATTGAATTTATCTACGGTAATTTCGCTTGTACAACATTCATTTTTCTTCTTTTGTTTACTTGTTAAATTCTTGGAATTTTTATGGTGATTGTTCAGCCTGTTTGTTTCATGTGGACATGATTATTATCGATAATACGCATTGTTTCATAGCTTAATCCTATTCATCTCTTCTTCCTGGGACATTTTTGAAACTTAAGATAAGTTTATTTGTTGTTTAAACGTGCAGGTTATTGAGCTAAACAAAGCCTAATTTCATCCTACATTCTTTTGTTGATACAAAATGTTTGGTCATAAGAAATCTCCCTTACATAGGTTTTCTAAACACAAGTCAGTGGACCAAGTCCCCAGTAATTTCAATTCTAATCCTTTTGATGATGATTCTTTAGTTAACAACCAAACCCTTGAACCCTCTAGGCGAACTTCCTCAGATCCTTCTCTAGTTACCCCAAATTCACGTATGAAACTTTTTGATGACGATGAGATTAAGGGAACCTCGGCATATAAAAACTCCATTACGTCAGCAGAAAGAAACAGATACAGAAACGATTTTCACAATTCCGGAGGATTTGAGGCCCAGAGTGTACAGGAACTGGAAAACTATTCCGTATATAAGGCTGAAGAGACTACAAAGACTGTCGACAATTGTCTCAAGATTGCAGAGGACATAAGGGGAGATGCTACTAAAACTTTAGTTACCTTGCATCAGCAGGGGGAGCAAATTACGAGAACCCACATGGTCGCTGCTGACATGGAACATGATCTTAGTAGGGTATGCCTTCTCAACTTTGCAACTTGTATTCTGGTTTGGCATGAATGATTGACCATGTTTGGCTTTGCTTAAAAAAACCATAAACTTACTTTTAATACCAAACCGTGTTTAATATTATATTTTTCTTACTTCTAAGTGAAAAAGTTATTTATCTTGAAAGTAACCCTGGACTTACTAATTTACTATTAATTTAGGTAGCTAACTTTTTTTTCTACTTTGACTTATAAAGAAAATTGTTTATTTAAAAACTTACAAGTATATATTTTATGCTTAGCTAAACATGCTCTTGGAAGACATGATACCCAAGTCACATGCGCAAGTTCCATCTTTTTTCCCTTTGCTGTAATATTGTTTATACGACTATCAAGTTTGATTCCATTCACTAAAGCAGAAAGAAAGTGCCTCAATGAAACATATGTTCAAATTTTTTTTCCTCGATCTTATTCTTTTGCTCTGGTAAGAGTTCAGCGGGTGGTGATAATGATTGCTCCAAGTTCATCCATGTTTTTAGGAGTTATGTAAAAGCTAAATTGTTGCAAGTTGCATTTCCTTTGATCTTAACTGAACCGATGGATAAGTCAAAATGAAAACATTTTGGAGTTATTTTATAGGTTTGTACTCAACAGAAATATTATTTGCGTGAATAAGTTTCACCAAAGACTGCATAAATGTTGTTGGCTATGATTTATTGCATTTTCTGCGCTTGACTATTGAGTCTAAAATTATTTATTAATTGATTTTAGGGGGAGAAGCTGCTGGGAAGTCTTGGGGGCATATTCTCAAAAACGTGGAAGCCAAAGAAGGGTCGTTCAATAACAGGGCCTGTAATCATTCGAGGTACTTGTCGTCTTCTTGGTCAATATCATTAATAGAAGTTCAGTTTTATGTGTAGAACAGCAACTTCTAGTGTCATGTTTGGTAGAAATTTGATGCTAAATTTTTGTTTATTATATTGTCAAGCCATGTCTAATACTACGTACCAAACAATTATTTGATGCATATGAGTTGTGGGTGAGTAGGTGGATTTTAATCTGACATTAGACTTTCTCCTTGACCTGTGGTCTAACACTTCAATGCTACCACAGATGATCCAGTGCATAGAAAGGGTAACCACTTGGAGCAGAGGGAAAGACTGGGATTGACTTCTGCCTCAAAGGAACGAACAACACGAACACCACCTCCTGAACCTACGAATGCATTGCAGAAAGTTGAGGTATGTTGTGATGGAGGATTATACCAAGAGTTGTAGAGTTGTAATTTTCGAGTATCTCTTTTGTGTAATAATGTTGGAAGTTTTTACATCTCTCTCTCTCTCACTGCCTGTCCCTCTCAGATGAAATTTTTGTGTAACAATGTTAGGAGTAGCCCTCCATATAAGCTAAAATATACAAACGGGACATGGAGGATCATTCTGTTTTGAAGGATAATTGGTACCATTCAAATGCATGATCTCCTTTGGTCTGGATAGCTCAGCTGGTAGAGGAGAGGACTAAAAATCTTCTGTGTCATGCTACTTTTATGATACAAAAGGATCCCATTGTCCTGAACCAATCTTCCCTAGGATCGCAAACCAATTTTGTCTATGAAGAGCTGTCAAAGTCTTCTTTCATTTCTCAACAGAGAAGTAATGCTTCTTAACTTATTAGACGTGTAGTACTAATTTGACCATTTGTGATACAAGGCCCCATTGTTCACATGGTGGCCATTCCATCTCTTTCCTTGATCATTTTTGGTGTACCAACTTACCATGGTGAACGCCATTCCTAATTATCCGTCAATCAGGAAATTTGTGAATTCTCAGTCCTCATCTAAGAAAAGGTCGATCAGGATAGTTGTTAGAATTCTCATTCTCATTCCTCTACTCCCTCACTAGTTACTGCTGCCTACAGCTATGGCAACTCTATACTAATCCTACCACCTTCATCTTCCTCCTCCTCAGCCCCACAACTATCTTCCTCCTGCTTGTCTCTCTCCATCACTCCTCATGGATCTTATTTATTTTATCTTCTATTTGTTGGCAACTTTGTCATAGCAGTAGGTACTAAGCCTGGGTTAAGTGGGGACGGTATTGGTAGGTAAATTAGCCAGCTAATACTTTGTCAAGTCTAGTGACATGAATCCTTCAATTTGTTAGCAACTCTCACTAGATCCACACTATTCTCACCCATCAGATCACCATTGCCAACTCACCTCCACCGCCTCTCATCTTCCCTTTATCTCCAGCTTCCAATTTTTCCGTTTTACCTTTGCAATCATGTCTATATCCACCTTGTCGAAACATATATCCTCCATCAATCTTCCGCACACACTCCCTTCCGCATTTCCTGCACCCACCATCTCATTCTCTCCATTGACATCTATTCTTCTCCTTCACCTTCACTTCAAATAGATCAAGAATTTCATATTGTTCTATGTTCAGATTCTTACGAATTGAGAATGAAAACTCAGTCAAAGAATTTCATGTTAAGTTCTCTGTCTTCCATTATGAACTGATGGTAGCAAGGTGGAATGACAGAAGTGGGGTGGTCAGGGGTGACGGTGTCGAGAACTGACTGGGATTTGGCATGAGTGTTGTTGGGTCCTATTCTTGGTAGAATTCTGTTTTGGGTGGCTAAGCCTTCCTATGCTGGGTAATTTTGCGAGTCGAACGGCTCCTAAATTTAGCAGGATAGTTTAAATTTCATAACTTGATTATTAACTTGTAATACATCCCTTATGCAAGCTCATTTGAAGCATTTAAACTCCTTTTTAATATCAGAATGTGTGTTTGAGTACGTGTGTAAATAAAATAACTGATTAATTATCCTTATGGGGAATTATGACAGGTCGAAAAGGTAAAACAAGATGATGCCCTCTCAGATTTAAGTGATATTTTGGGAGAGCTGAAGGTTATGGCTATCGACATGGGTTCTGAAATTGAGTGGTGAGTTATACTACTCCTTGTAAACTTCCGACTCTCTCCCCTCTCTCATGTAGTATTGAATTCTAAAATCCGAAGTATTTACACGATATGTCTTCTAACATTGCAGGCAGAACAAAGCGCTGGATCCAATTCAGGACGATGTGGAGGAACTGGTTTTCCGAGTGAATGGTGCTAATCAGCGTGGGCGTCGTTTGCTTGGAAAATAGATAACCCAAATTTTATAAATCTGCAGTTTGTCATTGGCTTAATGAGGCACTATTGTCTGCATTGATTATTTTCATGCGTACAACTTTCTTATATTCGCTGTGTACACATTGCTTGCATGATATCTGGAGTAAAAAAGTGGTACTACAATTTTCGGAATATACTGGATTTACCTGGCTAGTATTGATTGCTAATAATTGTCGTTCATATGGTTTCTTCTGTGTGAGTGAATCCTTTAGTGCAGTATCATCATCATCGAGATCCAAACATATTCAGTGGATAAATGTTACGTTTTTCTTACTTTTAAGTAAAAAGAATTGCTTAGATAAAACCACCATGAGCTTGTACTGCAGCGTCAGTATTTAATTCTGAATAATGCTATTTAGTACTAGTGGTGTTAAAGTACTAGTTCAAATGATCACACTAGATCTGTTCAATTAAATGAATCACGAGATATTGTACTTGAATCGAATTTATTATTTAAGGTCATGCTAGCACCACCTAAATAATGGGCGGCTCTGGCTAGGCGTTGCTGCACGTTAGGCCTCCACCACCTTTGTTAGAACTGCTCATGCAGCATTCTTTTGGTTTCAAGTCATGGAAAAAAAAAATAATAATAAAATTAATATTTAGTTAATTACCGATATTTCACATCATTTAATTCGTTTCCTCAATTCATCAACTGCACGGTAGCCGCAGAAAAAATTGGCTGAGTTTTCAAGGAAAAGCAAGTCTCGTTAATGTTGTAAAAGATTACCAGAAATAAAACCATTTTTTTTTTCGGTCTTCTCCTTCCAAGGAATTGAAATGTGTAGAATCTGCATTGCTCATCCAGAAGAGCCAGGATGACCATATTGTTCAATGTGAATCACAGGGCCTTTGGTAGTTGGGTTATTGGTTAGCTCTATCGTGCAACCATGGTAACAACGAATTAAGCCATGCTTTTAATGAACTCGATGTCAGTACATGAAATTTTTTTGGCCCTTGGTTCGATTCTTTGCTACATTTATTAAAAGAATCGAGACAACTAGATCTTCAAAAATCACAATGGGCCACGTTAATGGTTTGCTCTTGGCGATGTTCTCATTCCAGATTTCAGATTTATTATTATTATTATTATTATTATTATTATTATTATTTTTTTTTTTTTTTTTTTTTGTGCCTAGAAGTCGCATCCCCCACGCAAGCACTAACGATGCGGATATTGCTATTATGATTCTAGTAAGCCATTCAGAAAATACGAGTATTCAAAAGTATGAAAGCATTCTATAGTTTCGTAGACGATCATCTAGATATTTTAAATTTTAGACTGTTAAGATTTTCAATGATATTAAGTCTTCCCTCCTTATGTGCTTACTGAGATCAAATCACTCTTATAAACTGGGGTATTTACTCTTCTACTGTGTTTCATGGATGAATATCTTTCCTCTTTTCACATGTTCTATTGAGATCATGTCACTCTTATGAATAAAGGTATAAAAAAATAGTGCTCCAACCGAATCACCAGTATCTCAACTCATCTTTAATGGGTGTCAATGGGATCCCAGTTTCTTAGTTCTAAATGCATATCATAACAAAACGTGTCTCTAACAAGCAAATTTATCAAATGGAACCATTACTTGTTCTTAATGTTGTTGGCATACACCCTTAAGAGAAAGACATCTTTTGCCTCTTTTATGGTACCAAAACACAACTCATTGATTACAGCATTTATGGACCTAAGTACATTGTTCATGGATCGCTTGCTTGAATTTTAAATACCATTTACAATAGGGCTTCACAAAAAAACTGCAAACCGAACTGAAACGTTGGTTCGGTCCAAGTGGACCCATGGCTTCTTTTCCCTCAAACTGAACCAACCGTTCAAAATGATTTGTTTTAGGTTTTGATTTTCAAAAATCGCACAAAATCGAACCGAACCGAACCGTTTTTAAATTTTTTAATTAAAACATTAATTTTATTAACTTAAAAATTTTACATTTTTCACTTAAAAAAAAAATTACCAATTTAACAATACAAATTACAATCAGCCTATTAAAATAATCATAGAAAGTAAATCAGGTTTATCATTATTGAACTATGATTTAACATGTTTACAACACGTCCTCACCTGATATCTAAACTAAACTAAAATTATTCCAAAATCATATGAAAAAAAAACCATATATTTTCAACAATCTAAATCATAATTCAACAAAACTACGCCAGCAAATCACGTCCAAAATTTTAGAAGTCCTAACATAAATTCTAATTTCCCTAACATTTGACGCTTGTCTGCCCTTCGCCTTTGCTTCTAGTCTACTAATCTCTATCTGAATCTCTCTCTCTCTCTCTCTTCTCTTTCAGTAAGTTTTAGATTCTCATTCAAACCATTTTTTCATTGTTATTTCTTTTATTTGTTTGATTTTTTTTACACTTATTATACATTAGTGAGTTATGATTTTGATAGAAAAATGATTGTTTGTATCTAGATGATTAATGAACTTGTTCGTGATTTGAAAAGAACGAAAGACTGAACGTATTGATTATATGAAAATGTTAAAATTTTCTAACTAGTACTGCTACCTTCTACTTTTATAAAGTAATTAGAGGATGAAATTCGTCAATTCCCAATAAGTCAAAACTCTATCAATCTTTGTACATCTAAACATATCACATTCAATCCTTATTTAACATTTTACTCGCAAAATGAAATGAGTTTTAACCAAACTATAATACTATGATATAACTCTATTTTTACCAATCGCTATATGACAATATGAATGTCAAATAAGAAAATAAAAATAAAAATGAAGAAAGTTGTATTTGTTCTATTTGCACCTTTTAGCAACCAATTTTGAAAATAATTTATTCATGAGTTTCATGGTAAATATGAATGTAATTTAACATTTAACATTATTAGTTCACGTTTAAACTTATATTTAATTTATGTCAAATACATTACTATAATGTCAAAAGGTAAACAGCAGATTAAAACCGAACCAAATCGCAAAATTTGGTTTGATTTTTTGGTTTGGTTCGAAAAATAAAATGGTTTGGATTGAAAAAAATTTAAACCGCATAAAATGGTTTGAGTTAAAAATATAATACAAATCGTCCAAACCGAACACGTTCACCCCTAATTTACAACTTTCTATTTGCCATCCTCTTGCCCCATTTCACACTTCCAAAAACAGTCCCGCATCGTCCTCTCCATCTAACAAGTGAAGCGCCCACCTCCCACCGCCGATCGCTGGATTTTGGTTGGTATTTTATTTTGCCTCATGGCAGCAGCAACCCTCTCTTCTCCTCAGTGTCCACCACGTTTTAGACCACAAAATACAGGGCACCACCAACCACCTCCACTTGTGCCGCCACCCTCACGGCCACCTTACGATCATGATGATGAGATTGACCTGAGATTTGGTGTCGAGAAATGACTAGTTCCAAGCGGGCCCAATCCGCTGCACAATTAACAACAGTGGCCATGAATTCAACACATCTCAACACAGGCAATACATTTCTCTCTACTTTTAACCAAATGGAGAAATATAACTTAATTTTGTTCATTATTCCTCTCTCTTATGTGCCCCTTTTTTATCATGAATTATGGGTGATCATTTGGGTTACCCCATAGATAATATGTATACTTGGAATTTCAGTAAGTTCTGTATTTATTTATCTGGTCTACTTTATTGAAATCTATTATACAGTATACACCCAGACACGGTGTGTGTGTCTGTGGACGAGCATGGAGCTGCAAAGCCTCTCATTTTTGCTAGGATTTGGCTTAACACCTAGCGGTCACTGGAACCTGCAAAATGATTTATCTTGGAAACCTAGAATTTACAAACTAGGCTAAACAGTTCAACTGCATTTCAAACAATTATAACATGTTAAATATTTTTCTACCGTGTCACCCAGATAAAGGTCAGAAAAAAGATTGGCTATTTATAAGAAGCAATAATGAACAATCAAGTTAAAACCCAGAACCAGCTCTAATATAATTATTTCTGAAATCAGAAAGCAGAACATTTCATTACATGTTTATGAATTCTCATGAAAAAGCCGTTGTATTTTCAATCTATCCAATACATGATAAATTTCGTTCACCTATCTTCTCAAGGTAAAGATGCTACTCCTCAATTTCTTCATGTCCCCGGTTCTTTCACCAATTCCTGAAACATTATTTCCAGTAAAAAGATAAAATTAGATAATAAGAGGGGGTTGATGACTTCATCAAAACTAAATTAAGTACTAATCTGGAAAATCGTAATCGTATTCAGCTTTTTCTGACAGATTTCTTCAATGCGATCATTAATCATAAAACTTTCAACCACACGATACAAGTCCACATTATAGTAATCTATCCTGCTCTTGCTAATCCAAAAAGATCAGGAAAGCAGGCAAAGTTAAAAGTTGACTTGGTTTTGTGAAGCATTCCTGGTAACCCATCGGTATATTCTCACTGACTTCTCAAATGCCATGTCAATGCATTAAGCAATAACCATGAAATTAAACATAACAGATGGTCGAATAATGCCTCCTGATCTATCTGTGACCTTTAGTGTTTCTACTACTCCAACGGACGTGTGTAACCTGAAAAGTGAGGGCGGGGCTTTCCCCCCCATTTTACCTTCGGTGTGAGAATCAGTAGGTGTAACGCCCCAATTTTTTTTTTTTTGCATAAACACGGGAACGTAACGAAAACTCATTTTTCTTTAATTAAAAAAATGCGGAACTATATAAAATTCTTCAATAAACAAATAATTGTAACGTTTAAATTAAAATTATTGAAAGCGTATCTAACCATAAACATAAACTCCTAAGTAATTCAAATAATGCGTTCTAAATTAAAATAAACAAATTGCTAAATTTAAAATGGCAAACTTATTTCTTTTTCTCTATTCTTTATCCACTTGGCAGTCCGCATCACCAATTCTCCACTGTTCCAATCGACCCGAACTAATTTGAAAAATTAATGTAAGAGTGAGTATTAAAAATACCCAGTAAGATACGTGCAAATTTCCATACACAGGTATATAACAAATAAATAATACACTTCATACCGCTCTTCTCTTATGGAGTATATCGGTGACCAAGCGACACACCCATCTTAGGTCCTCTTAATTTTCATGTAGAAATTTCATATCTCTTTTTCTAGAACCCGAAAGTCCACTAGCATTCCATGCATATTTAAT